TTTTTTGGTTTGTTTGTATTTGTTGGTATATAGAAATGCTACCCTACCCAGCGGGCACATGTTAATATGTCCGTAGGTGGCATGCACTCATTGGTGATCAGGTGACATGCACTCATTGGTGATGTTAATATGTTTAAAAAATACATCACCAATGAGTGCATGTCACCTACGCAGTGGGCATATTAACATGTGCCCGTCGTGAGTAAGTGAGCATTTCTCGTGTTGTATATAGTGGAATTCATAATCTTTAAATGAGAGTAGGGTTGCATAGGGGTACAGATCCTGAGAATATCTTTTGATATTGTGTGGATGTGAATGGGGGATGAAAAATTAGGTCATTGTCTATCATTGATTGTGATGTTGAGAGTTTGGTGAGGTCCTTTTCTTCCCTTTGGGTGGTTCTCATAATATCTTGCACTATCCATGGATGTAGTGTAGTTGGATAAGGTGGTGCTGGTGCACCTTTTTTTTTTTTTTTTTTAAATAATATTTGTAATACCAATAATAAATAATGTGCTTATTCTGTTTTGTTTTGTTTTGGTTTTGGTTTGGTTTTGTTTTGTTTTGGTTTTGGTTTTGTTTATCCCAACAATTAGAAATGCTTCTCATTACATTAAATGAACTATTAAAACAAAGTGTATTTTCAAGAGGTATCATTCAATCTGAAAGTAAGTTGATATTTGATCTAAATCTATAGTAGAGTTTTAAACAGTGTGTCTCCACATCTAACGTAATATTGTACATCACGCTAGATTGTTTTGTTATTTTTTATATTTTTATTGCCACTTTTTTTAGTTCTATTCTTATCATTATGTATTATTTTGTGAAATCAGATAAACTTCTCTATTAAATTTGCACATTTAAATTTTTAAACGGGTAAATTTAATAACTTTTCTACAAATTTTAATATTCATAAATTTCCATACTCATAAAATTACACATCTGATAATTTTTCTTACTACTAAATTTTCTTATAAATTAATTTATACATTTACACTAAGTGTGTAATTAATTTTGTGAGAAAAAATGTTTTTAAGAAAAAAAAATGTACATATTTAAATAAAGTGTAGTACCGATTTGAAATGTAGTACCGATTTACTTACACATTTTAATTAAATTACATTAAAATTAATTTAAAACAATAAAAAAATAAAGTATTTCATGTAGAGTAAAAATGTAGTAAAATAATTTGAAATAATGATAATAAAAAGAAAACATTTTGTAGAGTAAGATGTAGTACAAATGGTTGGAGCCGAAATTTGATTTTTGTTTCACTCTACTTTAGAGTAGAGTAAATTCTGTACATAGTAGAGATAAGGACTGGAGATGGCCTAAACCTTCTATCTTTAGGTTCTGATGTGTAGTGTTCAGTGAATTGCAATGGATGGATGATTTTTTATTTTTTTTTTCGGAATGATAATAACTTTACAATATGAACCAAATGGCTCTGTGTTCCTAGCTACTAAGGGAATGACCTCTAAAAGAATACACACCATAAACAACACTAAAAAGGAAAAATTCTCGCAACTTTTCAATCGCGTGTAAAAATCTCGTAATCTTTCAATCATATATATGCAAATGTTTAAACTTGCTTAAGCTCTACTTCATTTCCAAAAAATTGTTCTAATTTTCCATTTACCTGGGCAGGATTCTATTTGTAACACAAAATGTCATATTCTTTTCATACTTAACGTACCTAAAGTTAAAGTTGGTATAAAAATCATCGTGTGCAACAACAACCTTTAGCTTGTGGTCAAATAGAATCCTAGTTCAACGATCCACAATATCCCATACATGTGAGCCACTAGAAATGCACAAGCTCATGTGGGGACCACCTGTGTTCAGCACCCTTCTTCATGTGCAACTTTTGTCAATTACTAAACCAAAAAAATAAATAAAATAAAATTCAAAGCTTTCAATTTATCTTACAATTTCAGATTTGCATAACTCAACGAAAACAACTAATAAAATCTTAGCTAGAAAGAAAATCAAGGAGAAACTTTAGAATACATGAACATAGATAAACAAAAATAACTCATAGTTAAAAAGATAGCGGGTTTTCGTACTTCCCTTGTATTGTTTCGGAAACAAAATTGATTCTTTACACGGATGAAAGCCATGGATTAGGTGCGACGTAAGTGTAGCCATGAAAATGCTCCCCGGATGTTGGTGTGGGAGCAGGGGAGTCGTCCAGGGGCATAGTCGTCCAACACTTGTCAAAATTAGCCGTGCAGTCTTTTCCGCTCACGTCCGGTTTGAACTTGGTTTGTAATTCTCTTTTTTCTAGTTTCTTCCAGTTGACCGTTCGGAACCATTTATGGGATTTGATCTCGTCCGCTCCTTTGGGCCCACTTCCGAGTCTTTTTGATGGGTCCTTTTGAAGAAGCTGTGGAATGAAAAAAGGATTAGAGCAGAGAGAGAGAAAGAGAGAGAGAGAGAGAGAGAGAGGTGTAATCTTACTCCTTTAAGCAAAGAATGAGCCTCGCCGGTTAAACGAGGTGGAAGCTTCAGCTTTTCATTGATGATTTTATCCTGGAGCTTCTTTCTGTTTGCATGAGTATATGGCGGCTGAACAAATAATTAAAAAAGAAACAGGAAATGCAAAGTAAAGTAAAATCAGTAATTATTTGATAAGATGCAGTTACAGGTTTCATGTCGTCAATCATGACCAAGTTGCAAAGAAATGGCTAAACGCCAGTCGGGCAACAGCCGAAGGGACCTAAACAGCTGCCTGTAAAACACTATTACTTTTAGCTTTGGTTGATTTTGTTTTTCCCATTACTTGGAAATTTCTCGTTTTTACTTTAGATAACAAAACTGATCTCAGTGCAATGTGTAGTTGACTTCTTTTCGAGCAAAACTACCAAGAAAAGATCAGGAAAACTGATAAGTGCGAGCGTTTTATTTTTATCCTATGTCCCAATTAGCAGAGTTTAGTAAAGATATTAACCCAGACCTTTACATCATTTTACTCCACAATTCTGAAATCTACCCAACTGAGTAAAAATATGAAATTCCTCTCGGTTTTTCTAAAATTTTGCTATATCTGTCAAGATATTACCTGGCCATTGAGCATTTCGTACAAAAGGATACCAACACTCCACCAATCGGCATTCTTGTTATGCCCTTTAGACTGCAAAATCTCTGGGGCCATATATTCTGTCGTCCCGCACAATGAATTTGATCTGCTCGATTCATCAATCTCCTTGGCTAGCCCAAAATCAGTTAGCATCACCTAAATCCAAGTATTTAGATCAGTAAAGAAGCAAAGTACTTCACATAAGATGAAAATCATAGATATTCTCCATCATATATTCATGCATCATGCATTCTCCTGCAAATATTTTTATCTACATACGTGCCCATCATCATCCATGAGAATGTTTTCAGGTTTTAAATCTCGATGCACAATCCCGTTCTTGTGAAGGTGCGCTACAGCAGATACTATCTCAGCAGTGTAAACCCTTGCCTGGTCCTCACTACCCAAGAGCATAACCAAAAAGAAGAAACAGGAATTAAAGATACGAACACAAAATCAGCATAGGTAGTTTAAAACTAGTGTGATAGGTACCTGAAGATGCCTTGCCTGTAGAGATGATAGAACAGATGGCCTCCGTTTATAAAGTCCAGGATCAAGTACAGCTTGGACTTCGTCTGTAAGGTACAAAAAAGTAAAATGGAGAGGCAAAATACAGGCGAGCACGTTGAACTGTATGAATATCATGATGCCAACAAATTGCATCAAAAGTCTTTACTACACAGATTGAAAAAAGGAAAGTGTAAGCACCCAAAATCAGTGAGGTAGTGAAATAACACGAAACCAACGATTTATGGATTTTAACAGGCAAAAATGCAGTTTTCCAAATATACGGATTCCACATAAAGGATACTGTGGAGATTTAGTATATCAAAATACATTGCATGCATTTCTGGATTGTTGGCGACTAGAAAGCTATGAATGCATTTAGAAACCCACAACACGTAATTGATGGGAGCTGATTATAAAATTTATAAATGGATTTTATGTTCCTTATTCATAACTCCTAAGTACTATGCAAAACATTGATACAGCAGATTCATAGTTGGATCTAGTGAATTGCAAAACCTTAAATAGGTGAACAGTAAACAATCATTTTGACCAAGAAGCTCCTGTACAAAACTTTCCTTAAAGTCCTTTGGGTGTTCGGCTCGGGGACCTCTATTCATCAATTCTCATCAATTCCTTCACATAAAGACGTCATCTTCTGGCATATCAAGAGGAAAGACGCATTTTTTTATGCAAACTCGAGAGCTTTTAGTTACGTTTTGGGTGTTCCCATACAAAAAGGCAAAAGGCAAAAGATTTGCTAACAAGTAACAAGGCAGGACATAGTACATTCATCTCCATCTTCCCCTAATAAATACAGTAACAGGATTGCAACTTATTGAATTCATACTATTTCTTTCCAAATCGACATAACAAAGTCAGTTTATGCACCAATGCCCTCACACGACCACACCATCATTACAATACTTAAAGCATCATGAGCTTCTAATAATCATAATATTCACTTTTTCCCTAATCATCTTCACCACAATCAAGACAATCAAGTATCACAACTCAAACAAAGTATAGTCTAATCTAACTTTGCCCATTGTCAATACCACCAGCTCAACTAATTTCTCTATAAGTTCCATATCAGAAGCCACACATCATCAAATTAAACAGAGAAAAAAAAGGCACCTGAAACGAGTAACGGAGCTGAACAATAAAAGGATGCACAACTTTGGTGAGGATATCCCTCTCAGCTTTCATATAATCCACATGATTGTTCTTGATTATGGTGTCCTTCCTCATCACCTTCATCGCGAAAATCCCATCTCCATCAATCCCACTCTTACCCTTCATCCTCACCTGAAACACCTTCCCAAACGCGCCCTTACCGATCACCCTCATGATCTCAAAATCCCCCGGCCCCACTCTCTTCGTCCCCACATCGGCGCCGTCAAGATCAGTGCCATCGGCGTGACAAAAACTCTCACTTTCACACTCAATAACTCCATTTTTCACGTCGTTAGCAGCAATATCGTCGGATGAATAGTAAAGCTCCTCTTGATTCTCCCGCTCGAAAGGAGGCAGGGATTTGGACAGGGTGAAACGCGGGGATGGACCCACGAACGAGTGGGACCGGTGGTGGATGACCTGTGGGTCCCCCAGGAAGAGTGCGGAGGAGGAAGGGGAGCCACCCCCGCCGCCGGCGGCGGCGGGTCCGAACAGATCGGAAAAATCGAAATCCTGAGATGGGTCCTCGGCGGCGGAGGAAGATGAAGGCGGGATGTGCAGATGGGTGAGCCGCGAAGCCAGTGTTTGGACCGCCTTTTTCTGGTACGAGGTCGACGAGAAATAAGAGGAAAGGAGAGAATTGGGGTTGCCGGTCATGGCGAAGAGAATCAAGAACTCGATGCGCTCAATCTGTTTGTGAATATGTTCGAATAAAAAAAGCCAGCCGATGTGGGCGGGCCGAGATTTCACATGGATTACATTTTCAAGAGAGGATTTTGAGTGAGGTAAGAAGAGGAAGGGATTATTCAGAGTAATTGTAGTTGCAGAAAAAAAGCTTGAATCTTTGGTGTGTAGATGGAGATGGAGCTGTTGCAGCCTTGTTCAGATTTGTCGTTTGTGTGTGTTTTGTGTGTTTTTGGGAGAACAAAAAAAAAGATCAGCTTTTTCTGGGCTGGCAAGTTGGTATTGAATTCTCTTTGTAGAGACTATTTTGTTCGATTTGTTACGCAACAAAAAGTCGTTGAGCTGTTGAGTAAAACGTTATAAAATTGGGATGAGAAAAGGGTTCACTTCAAACAAAAGATTGAAGCGATGACCGGAATTTGCAGCGATATCGGAATTCAGGCGGGCAGCGACGGACGCGTATGGTGATGGATTGACTAATTTTGTTCGTACTTTTTTGAAAATTTAACAAAAGATTTATTAGGGGAAAAAATAAAGTTTAGTTCTTGATGAGGCTATCTGATTTAGACTTCTACCTTAATCGATTATGGCGATGGACTAATTTTGTTCATACTTTTTTGAAATCTAACAAAAGTTTTATTTAGTTGAAAAAATTAAATTTTAGTTCTTGAGGTATATCTGATCTAGACTTCTACCTTAATCAATTTCGCCACTCACATTCCAAAAATTGGTCATTTTTATTCCAAATCTTCAAAAACTAATGGTTGTTAGTAAATCATTTTGAACATCTTCAACTATTTAATTTTGTTAAAATTATAGTAAAAGTTTCTAAAATTTAGTATATCATTTTGACGGTTTTGCTATGATGCCAACAGTTGGTTCCATATTGGAGCCAACCTTCTATATACAAGTAAATCTACCATATTCTCTGATTATTTAAATAACCCTTTTATAATTTTATTAATATGATAGGCTTACTTGTTGTATATAGAAAGTTGGCTCCACTATGGAGCCAACTGTTGACTTCATAGCAAAACCGATCATTTGAACCTCTTCTATCTACTTTTGTTAAAGTCATCACTATAGTTTCTAACTTTTTCGGTCAAAATGTATCACTATCTACTTTTAGCAAATCATCACTATAGTTCCTCACTTTCTTTGTCAAAATGTATTTTAAAATTTGACCGATTACTGTTCCAGATCAAAATACGGTGAATTTTCATAAAAAATAAATACATGGTTTTTCTTTTTTTAAAAAAAAAATGAGACATGTGATATGATCGTCCATTGAAGCTCCCAATTGTCAAAAAAATACGTGAAATTTATAAATTTTCCGGCCTGGGTGGTTATGGAATGGACCAACCTGGGTGTGTTAGTGGAGCATCCAATGCCCGATATTTCTATTCAGAGAACGCACGCAAGATTGCCAACGATCAATCACAAGCAGGGGGTTCGAGAAGTGTTGTAGGAGCTGCAGTCTGGTTCTAGTTAACCTGTTAGAAGAGTTTTTGGTTCCGTTATGATTGGGTTATAGTTCTCGTGATTTCTTCTCGATCGTTCGTGTTTGGATGTTAGCTTGGATTGTTTGGGCTTTAGGTGTTCTTGTCTGGTGGAGGGGCCTTTTTCAAGTTGTGTTTGTTTAGCTGTTTTTGTTTTGTCTATGTGTGTTTAGTTTCTTTGTTTAGTTGTGCATTTTTGTTTTGTTGTGTTTTGGTCTCTTGTTGGGAGGTGTTGTATTCTTCTGTTAGGAGTCTTTTGTCGTAAGTTTTGTTGGTCTTTATTTAGTTTGGTTCTAAGCTGTCCGGACTAAATATCATTGGGGTTAGTCCTCCGAACTAGGTTCATCTGGGCTTGAATTGCTGATTTATTTGACTGTTTAGCTGCAATATGCAATTATGTGCTTTTATTTAATTGGAATCTATCATTTGACAATAAAAAAAGAAAATGGAAGATACATATTTAAAAATAAATACCAACAATTCACCTTAATTTGGCAAAAAAAAATGTAAGATACATATTTAAAAATAAATACCAACAATTCACCTTAATTTGGCATATCATTCAATTTTCCCAAAAATTCAATTTAATTAATTTGGACCGGAGGTATATTATTTAGACCAAGTAACATCACCAAAACTGTTTGACTCTGCCGATATCCATGACCAATTGGTCCCATGCCCCCACCAAACGCCATCGTTTCGATTCATTGGTTTGTTAAAGAGGTTGACCGTTATTTCAGGTAAATAACTCTCAACAACCCAATTCTTGAACTAAAAGGCCCTTTACCATATATAGCCCAAATCAATGTCCCCATCACAAATTTTTTTGGCCAACCTTTGAATCCAAACAATCTCCTTCCTCCTTCAGACACAACCTTTACAGAGACACAGAGAGAGAGAGAAAAATAGAGGTAGAGAGAGAAAGGTCATGATCTATGGTGTGCTCATTCCCACTATGGTCATGATCTATCATAAAATAAATTCCCTAATAAAAACACTTTCTTGATCCTCTTCACTTGAATCCTCTTTCAGTTTTTATGTTCTTTCATTGTTTTACATATTTTTATTTTTATTGTTTGGTGGGATATTTATGTTAGAAATCTTAATGGCCTCGGTGAGGAGCTTCGTCGAGCAAAATCTCGGAAAATTCCCGCATTTCCTCCTATACGCGGTCCTCGAGTGGCTCGTCATCATCCTCCTCTTTATAGACGGCATCATAGCCTTCGCTTGCAACGAGATCGCCCGTTTTTTCGATCTCCGAATCCCGTGCCTCATCTGCACGAGGATCGACCATGTCCTCGTCCATCGAGATCCGAACTTCTACTTCAACGACTCGATTTGCGAGGCCCACAAAAAGGACATTTCTACCCTTGCATATTGCCACGTGCACAAGAAGCTCTCGGATATCCGCACCATGTGCAAAGGGTGCCTTTTGTCTTTCGCGGCCGAGAAGGAGTCGGACCTCGAGCGGTACAAATCGCTCGTCGGGGTCTTGCACAAGGATGTCGATTGGCAAGTGGAGGACGAGAGGAAATCGCTCTTGAACAAGAAGGACGATAACGACATTTTGCCCGATGGGATTAGGAGTGGGATTTCGAGGTGCACGTGTTGTGGGGATCCTTTGAAGTTGAAGGCTTCGACTAAGTTTAATCGGAGCTTGTCGATGAATGTGCCCACGCCTTCTCCTAGGGCATCTTTTTTCGGGATTAGGAATGAAGAGGGTAGTGGGAACTTGGATTTACCGCATATCAGGTACACGGAGCTTAAGTTGATGTCGGATACCGAGTCGGAGGTTCTCGAGGAGGATGATGCTATAAATGCGTATAGTCATAGTGAGTTTCGTTTCATGTCGTCATTTTCTTTTTTCCTTGGTTTTATTGCTGATTTTGATTTTTTTTTTTTCAAGAAATGAATTTTCCATGATCTTTGCATCCTGCAGCTAACAGAGAGGACCCGAAAGCTGTCACAATGCCTTTACTCCCAGAGACCGACGAAATAAACGAAGAAACCCTCCGAACCCCAACATTCACCGGCCGGAACAAATTCTTCGGAATCCCTCTATCCGACTCGGCCCAAGCCAGCCCCCGTTGGGCCAACCGGTCCTTAACCGGCATAAAAAAACTCCCAGTCGAGAAACTCGACTTCACACTAATGGCTCTCTACATGGAGCTCGACGAGGAAAGAAGCGCTTCGGCTGTTGCCGCGAACAATGCCATGGCAATGATCACCCGTTTGCAGGCCGAAAAAGCCGCTGTCCAAATGGAAGCTTTACAGTACCAGCGAATGATGGAAGAGCAAGCGGAGTATGATCAAGAAGCAATACAAGTTCTCAAAGACATGATTTTCAAGAGGGAAGAGGATATGAAGGCATTGGAATCCGAGCTCGAGATGTACCGTGAAAAGTATGGGCAGATGAAGAAGATCGGGAGCGAGATTTGCGAGATTGATGATGACGAGGATTATCAGGACATGAAGTCTCAGGGAATGTCTTCGTTGAGCGAGAGGTCGGATGAAGGAGGGAGCAGCTCGAGTGGGAACGAGGCCGAGCGGGCATACGATCGGTCGATGGAGAATATGGAAGACCCGATGAGTTTCGATTTCGATAAAGAGAGGTCTTATTTGCTCGGTCTTTTGAGGAGTCTCGAGGAGAAGATACGGACGAATTCTGAAGAGTTTGTTGTGATCAAGAATGAAAGTGAAGGCAGAGGTAAGGTCTTTCTTTCTTTCTTTCTTTCTTTCTTTTTTTTTTTTTTTTTTTTTTTTTTTTTTTTTTTTTTTTTTCTTATTTTTGGATTTTAGTTTGTCAAAAATTTTGAAGCTGATTTGTTTACTTTTTTGTGATGAGAGTAAAGGTGTGCTCACACGGGAAGTATCGTTGATTAGAGAAAGGTTGAGAGTGATCGAGGCAGATAATGGGTTTTTAAAGCATGCGGCTATGACATTGCAAAGAGGAGACGAGGGGACTAAGCTGTTGACCGAGATAGCTCAGCATCTTCGGAAACTGAGGCAGCCGGTTAATAAGTCTCCATCGGAGGACAGTATAGATGCATGATGTTTTTTTGTCCTGCAGGTTAATAATCTCTCTTTTCCTGTTTCTCCTTTTTGGGCTTTTCGGGATGTCATTTGTAGTTATTATTGCACTCAATATTTTCGTCTCGAAGTGATTTTCATTTGCTTAGTTCTGTATTCTAAGTTCTTTTCACTGTGTCAGGGATGTACATAGAGTCATAGACAATTTAGGTATACAAGATGGAGGACCGGAGATTTGGACGTTTAATGAAGAGGAAGGTAAAAGCAAGAGCATCCAATATAGTGTCATGTTATTTTATAACAATTTGAACCAATTTGCAGGAATGAAGTTGAGGGGAAGGTTTTGGATTCTCTCTCTTATGGTTAGTTTTTATGCACGATAAGAAGCGAGGAGTCGGAATAGAATCTTTTTGCTGCCGGGATAGGATCTTTCTGCTGTCTTCTGTTCTTGTTCAATTATTTTTTTTTTCTTTTTTAGTTTCATTTACGAACATGAAAAACATTCTCCTTGACGAAAAGATTCTTTGATGGTGAGATTTGGCTTTATACTCGACAAGAGACTCTCGAGTTCTTGCTTTAGGTTGTAATATCCTGATACTCTACCTTTTTCTTTTTTTTTTTTTATCCTTTTGTGTTGCACACTTGTTTGGTACGAGGGACTGTGATCTGCCTCGGCAAGATTGATTGTATCGTTTTCGCTCAATATAAATGTTGCTGCACTGTAGTACGATCGGTCGAAATAAGAAGGATTCGGTTCTTTAAGCAGCTTACAGATGTTTGACATTAATTTCATGATATGTATGTTCAGGTAAAAGTGGTTTATACTACTAGCACATAGATAGATGAAAACAACCAAAAAAACTTAATAATTATTATACTACTAGCACATAGATATAGATAAATGAAAACAAGTATAATTAGACGTAGAAACTTACAACATCTCACATAAACAGTTAGCTTAAACTGTTCAAATAAATTGATTCAAACTCAGTAATGAACGTATATATATACGAACAAACTATATATGCCAGCTAATCACCGACTAACTACCGGCAATCAATGGGTCATTCAAGGCTGTCGATGATATACTTTCAACTTAAGCGTGGGGATTTGCAATCTCTCTCTGTGTGTGTGTATCATGCCTACTGTTGTAATTCGGGGAATCAGTATTGTATTTCGAATAAATGTTTGCTTTACTCGAGTACGATCGGTCGAAATAAGAAGGATTTGGTTCTTTAAGCAGCTTACTTACTGTATGTTTCAAGTTAGTTTTATGAGATGTATGTATGTTGAGCTAAAAGTGGTGATTACTGATTAGGTGCATTTGTATTTGGAGTTTTTTGCCTGAGAATTTGGCAGAATGTGATTTGGTGAAGTTAGTTTCATTTTGAGTTTTCTTGGGAGTTTGTTCCTTGTTCAATCAATCTTAGAAAATTGATTAACCAAATCATTACAGTACCATATTAAACAGCAGCAATTCAATACAGATCATATATCAAATCATATTATAATAGTTACTATAAAGGGCTGAAATGAGAACCATCATGAGCAGAAAAGAAATATATACATAATCTTGAACAACACAAAACTTTTATCAGTTAAGAATAATGAATATAAAACTAATTATGTCACCAGATCATGACTAAGTACTGGGAATCAATGGGACATTCAAGGCTGTAATGGGACATTCAAGGCTGTCAAAGACTGATCATGCCAGAAAAAGCGGCCATCGTCGGGCAGGTTATCCCATAGGAAGTGATCATCTGCAGGAAGATCAAAATCAAAGAAGTCGAGCAACTCTTTCGAGAAACTTGGATCATCACATAATAAGGGCCCACCAATACCGTCCATCTTACTAGCCAGTCCACTTTCGTCATCAGGCTTCTCGTCACTATTATCGCGATCAATCATACTCTCCTCCAGTTCGTGGATCCAATCATGATGGAGACGAGATCGCGATAGCGTTTATGGACAAATACGATCGAATCCCAGCTCTAGTTTAATTAATTAATTGCATGAGTATTTTATTATTGTTCCTTATTTATTTTATTAAGTTAGTAGGATATTAATTATATTTTTAGGAATTTACTTGCCTAGCAAGTTAGGTGTTTGGATTGCTAGGAACTCTATTTATCTATCTGCTCTTGTCATTAGTCGCAGTTTTTGGAAGAAATAAAAAAAAACGATAGTTTTGAGATTTGTTCTCTCTTGTCCCTTTCGTTCGAAGCTGCGCTACATCAGTTGGTAATCAGAATCAGCTACGATCCACGATGCCACCAAAGAGAACCGATCCGGCCGATGACAGAAGGGATGCAGCGATTGCTTCCCTTATGCGCCAGAACGAGGGTTTTGGCCGGCAGATTGCGGACCTCACCGAGGGCATGGCGGACATCAGGATGGTTCTCCAGCAAGTGGCGAATCGCGACGGCGTAAACCGCGACGGGCTCGAT